CTCTACTTTGTCTTGGGCTTTTGTGGCTCCCGTACACCTCTGCAATCAAACTTCACATGCCGATAAATAATTGAACAGCACTTTTGCTGACACAGTAATCCAATCCCCCTGCATTTTGTCAGGGTCCCATAGATTTGAACCAAAATAGCCAAGTTATGCAGCTGGGGAACTGATCACCTGCACAAAGACAAAACGGAGGCCGTTTGTGGAAGAAGGGGTGATTGCTCAGGTAATTAGCTCTTGCCCACAAGTGTGGAAAATGAATGGAGAAAGCACAAAAGCTTGAGCAGTGAAATTTAATCCAGGCTTTTAATATTTATTCAGCAGTAGCACACACAGTCATGATGTGCGCATTTTTTCCCCCTAGTGGTCCTGCATAAGTACAGAATTATGAATCATGCAGTGATTGCACACATATATTTCAGTAAGGCATCACAAAAAAATGGCTCATCTCAAATTTGGTCCACTTTTCATTTCAATATTTGTATTTTCTGTTTTGTGCAACGGGTAACGAAAATGCACTGAAACCATGACAGAAACACGCCAAAGACATAAAAGCATCAACAGCCATTACTGTACATCAGTAGGCAAATGTGATGCACAGAATAAACCGAATCTGACTTGAACAAGATTTCACCTAATTGTAACCTTTGTCAGAGTCAATGTAACACAAGGAAAGTCTTTTTAGATAGGCTCATATTTTATAAATGAATGTAATCTAATTTTATTTCTTATTTTAAAGAGTTTTTTTCCCCCCCAATATTCAGATTTTAGTATGTTTCTGAAATTTACAAGTCTGCCTCTAAAAAAAAAAAAAACTTAATTGACTTGTTTATCTTTCTATAATAGGCTCATTTATTTAGACTCATCCTAAAGATTTATTCAGTTTTATAGTGCAATTCCTATAAATGCACAACGTTTCCATAACCTCAACCAGGACTTCCAGTACCAGAGAATAAGAAGGCTTTATTTTTGATGTACAGGATCAATAGTTCAACAAGTTCAAATCCAAATTAATCAGCAAGATAACATTTACGTAGGTCTGCGTTTTCCCGGTAGGTTAGGTTTGAGCACACTGCTGACTTCATAGTTAATGAATTAGAAGGGCAAATTGACTCATGCTTGCACAGGGGGATACGATCCTTAAAGCATAGTTTAAACACAGGATGTTAAAACAAATGTGTTAAGGCTGCTTAAAGCGTTTCTTTTTATGTTTTCCGAGTTTTATACAGTGTCCTGTCATGTCCTGTAAATGTGTCAAGGTGCTATATACATAAACAGCAACATGTACTGTAGCTTGTGCAACAAAAACTCCTTGGATCTTAAAGAAGCTTGGACCGTCAATGAACACATGATACGAATGCAAGAAAACTTTACTTTTGTAGCAGCATAAAGTCAAACTATTCTTCATAAACAGAATACAAAGGGTGAAATGCCAAATAGGTACTTGGTCCATATCAATATGGAAGAAAATTCAGGATATTCAGGGGAACCTTCTCTTTAGAATACTGTAATCAAAAGAAGAGCTACTATCAGAAAGAAGCAGCAGTCTCTTACTCAGATGGTGAAGGCGCTAGTGCTGGTTATAAAAGACAAATGTCCAATCAAATCCTTAGTTTTGACATCCCTACAGCCAATACTTCCATCAGTCTTTCTCCAAACTTCGGGCAGAAAGTGGAAGAGAGCCGAGGATAATCTACATCACTCCTAAGACACAATGGTCCAACAACAAGAACAGCAGTCACACGTTAGCATCTTCCTTCCACAGTTTGGCTCAAAAACGAACGGATCGGAGACATCTGTCCTCCAAATCAACAAATACAATTACCGGCTACAACGTAACGTCCCACCAATTTGTAAAGGTTTTTGGTGCAATTCAAACTGGTGCTGATCAGGGAAAGTACTGTAGCTGCTCTACTCTAGATATTACAGCTACGCAGTCACATAAAAATCAGTCAGACAGCACTTTGCCACAATAATTTGCATAATTGGTCTATCTTTGTCCATGAACTGAAAAATGCATGCTTAAAAGTATTTTCCCCAGGTTAGCCAATTCACTAGATGCGACACCCAGAGAAAAATCCACATTGAATGGAATGACTCCAAGACTGGAGTCAATCCCGAGACCCTGTCACAGCAAGACAACTGTGCTACTCCCCCGTGCCCACTCTTTAAACAGTATTTTGTATAAACTGCCTATAACTGGACTGTTCACTTTATTAAAACTGAAACACATTGCTTCCGGAAATGAGGCCAAATCAGAGAGCAAAGCATGACTGAACAAAAACTGGGAGAAGTAAGAAGGAAACTTCACAGCAGAGACAGGGACTGGGAAAAAAGGAAAGAGTGTCCCAGTTCAGCAAATAATTAGGTCGATTATGTAATTAAGAGCAACAATGCAATGAAAAGAAAAGAGCCGTGCAAACCCTGTGTCTTGCATTACGTGCCAATGATAATCAGTCAATTAACATTCAGCAGGATATTTGACAAACACATTTCAGCTTAATCATTCCCCATGCTAAAACAAGCCATTAGTACATACTAGTTTTTAAATTAACCAGCTGGGCTGTTCACATTACACCATAGTTTCAAAAAGAAACCATCTCATATGAAGGAGTTCAACATAAGAGTCTGCATTATCCTTTTACATTCATCACATATTAAACATTGATGTTACCGAGTGCAACAAGATTTTTCAAAATGACAGAAATGCAATTGTTCTACTTTGGTCCTCCGCTGAAAATGGTGTTAGTCAACAGAAGGAACAAAACCAACCAAAGCTGGCAAAAAAGAGCAAGCATCACAACAGCCTCAAAAGACCATGTTTTCTTATCATGTTTTAGCTCAGACTGATCAAAGTCTGCATTAACATCAAATATATTTGCAGGAACTTGGCACTACTGTACCTGCAACTACAATGCAATACTCTTACATGCTTTTACTGTATCTGTAGTTTTACTAAGCACTAAGGGTAAAGTTAAAGAAAATGAATTTGAAGGGGGAGGGAGGGGGCTATATAGAAGCATTTAAATAAACAAAAGATTTGCATCAGTTAAAATGTAACCTCCGATATAAAATAACTGGAGGTTTCATTGCTAAAGCATCAAAGTCAGAAAGCTTTACATGGAGTTTCATTTGCCTGAGGAAGAGCCAATGTACTGACACATCCAGAGGAGAATATATGATCTGAAACATACATAAACCACAGTACACATTTACCTAGAAAAACCAATGAGAAGCTTTTAAAAATTAAATTAAACTCAAAAATACTTTATTCATCCCCAGGGGGATGAATTTAAGATAAAATACACGATAGGATATTTATCTACTGTAGCATGTAATACTATATATAAAATATATATACTATATATAAAAAGCCTGATGCGTTGTTTGGTAGTAGCCTGAAGTCTGCCAGGTTAAACACTGAACTGTTTTCAAAGTTTAGGAAGGTGAAATGACAAGAAAAGATTAAAAAATTAAGTTCGTCAACCACAATGGTTAGATTGTCACGATAGATTGTCACGGGCCCGTTTCTGGACACCCAAGCTGCACCATGAGTACCTAGACATGATACTGCACACAGTGTCATATTTCAGCATGACGCGTAGCCAAAGCGCATCACTTATCAACAGCATGGTTTCTAGAGAGGAAGGACATCCCAGTGGGAGACTGGCTATCACAGTCTGACTCTCGACTAAAATGAATCCTGATGATTACTTAAGAGTGTAGGTGAAGGATTTTCCAATTTTCTGGTCCTGGAAACCCACATTTCTGCCCATTTGTGTTGCTCCATTTCAAAATCCATCAGTTCTTATGAACCTGATGATAGGTCTGCTTGCAAACCACTGCTTTCCGATTCCTGTTTCTATGGCCACTTGACATGACTTGATGGATCACTAGGGATGCAATCTGGCTGCTGAACAGTGTCCCCTTGTCCACAGGCCACCGTGTGCCACCTACTAGACTACCAATGCCTCTTACATGGGGAGGTGGGGCACAGCTTGGGGCGGTGTGGTGGCTCTGTGGCTGGGAGGTCGCCGGTTCGAATCTCGTGGCCGGTAGAGGAATCCTACTCTGTTGGGCCCCTGAGCAAGGCCCTTAACCTCAACTGCTCCAGGGGCACCCTATAAATGGCTGACCCTGAACTCTGAGCCCCAGCTTCTCTCCCTATCCGTCTCTCTAATGGAGAGCAAGCTGGGGTCTCTGAAAAGACATTCCTAATGCAAGAAATCGTACATGGCCAATAAAGTGATCTATCTCTCTCTCTTACATCAGCCTAGTTTTCTTTTCAGGCCTCACACGCCACTATTGACCAGGCCCAGCCTTAAACAGCATTAAGATCAGACAAGATCAAGAAGCTGCATGTCTTTATTCTAGGACAAGAGAGATCTAGAGAAGATTTCATCCAAGCATCTAAAATGTTCAAATGTATGGTTGAGGATCAACCCAGGGGACACTCAGCAGGGAAACTAAGCACATAGGGTCACAACCAGGAACGAAAAAGAAATCCATTTAGACGAGCGAGTAGGAAACACGTCATTACAAAAAGAGAGGTGTCTGGATTACACTTTCATACCAAGGTGTCTGAGGGTCGCATTAAAAATTTGGATTCGTCCAGGATCATACAGGAACAGGGTACCAACACCTCTAAAGACACTTCTCACCAGCAAATACAGTAATTACCAATATTAACGTTTAAAAATACTTGCCGACTGCCTATAGATTACTGCACATTTCAAAGCTTGTTCTGGTTTAATATCTGCAAAGACTGTGACGACACCACGTACAGTATGAATAGAATGGCCTGACTGTATGTCTGTGGGGGACTTTCTAACGTCTCCTAAAATGCGAATTGTATAATGAATTATGAATCAGTGAGTGTGAGGCAGTGGGGCAGGGGTCTTAAGTCTGGACCTGGGATGCTGTCTGGGTGGAGATTGCATGTTTTCGCCATGCGCTCCGGCTACCTCCCCAAAAGGTGGTACTTTAGGTTTCCCTACCTCCTTATCCTTTTCCATTTCCAGCCCCGCTTCCATGAGGTTCTTCTCAAACTCTTCCCTGCTCCGCATTTTCTCCTCCTCCACAGCGTCCTGGGGCGTCACGTCCACCACCACGTCCTGGGAGCTGTGCACCGCCTGGGTGTCTTTCTTCTCGTCTGGGTTCCCATAGCTACCGTTGGAGATCACCGCCAGCCCCAGGGCGCCCGGTGTGCTCAGCGGGGGGCTGCGCTTTCGGTAGTGGTAGGCTAAGACGTAGTCCACTTTTCTTTTTCCGTCACTAAAGTACAAACCATTCCTTGTGTCCGGCTGCGCCGCTTCGAGGAAGTTGTTGACAATCTGAAAAAAAAACCATTACATTACACTGCGTGCGTTATCTAAATTCCCTAAGAAAATGGGGGAAAAAATGTCATCGTGTCTCATTCATCACTAAATAACACTTAAATAAAAAAAAAACACTAAACTAACAAATGAAATGCGACATCCTGAAATACATTTCCATGCACCCTATTAACAAAAACCGAAACAAAACGTTTTTCAGGTGTACCAAGGAACTGGCAGTTTCCCCCAGATTTTAAGCAGAAAAGCTTTCTGCGGGGCATTCCCAGGCTTGCAATCCCCTAACCTCCAGCAAAATGCGAGTTATCCCGATTGCATTCCCGTCCACGTACTTACGGGGATTTTATTAATACTTTGCGACTCCAACATGTTCTTTTTCCAAAAGAACAAAACCACGACCTTCTAAGGC